GATTGTTGGCATAGGCATCTCTTGCTTCTCCTCCATGCCACAGCCTCTCCTGGCAGCACAGAGCAAGAAGATGTGTTCAGTTGGACTTGGGAAAAGTGTGCTGCACTCCAAGGAGAATGGGGAGTGAGGGCTGGTGTGCAAACAGGAAAGAACAGGAGAAAGTGTCTGCAAAAGACTCCCTACTCCTACAGTGGAAGAGACTGGAAACGTAGACAAGAATGGCATTGAAATTCAGCCAGCTCTCTGCAGTATCTCAGAACCTGAGACTTGTGGTTATGATTACAATCAGTTAATGGAATGGACCGAGGCCTTCTTCCAGATGGTGCCCAGTAGCACCTGAGCTGATTCATGTAAAATACGTGCGATACAACACGAAGCTCCTTATATTCCATTCCTGTAGGAGTGCGAGCCCAACCTCACCCCACTGGCCATCCTGTGGGGCTCCTTGCTGCAGGCACAGTCCCCACTGTGTGATTTGGGGTGATGGGGCCTTTAAGCAGGAGATGGTTAGGTCCTACGGGGTCACGTAGTATATGTATAAGGCTCTTGAGTTAAACAGCACGCATTTTGGAAGCATTTCATGTGTAAACTATATTATTACTCACTCCTACCTACTTGCTCGGAAGTAAGTTCAGTGTTCATTGTGTGATCCTCACTGCCTGTGTGCATAGGATCCAGGCCTGTACATAATTACTGAGTGTTAACTAATTCAGACCAATTCTCCTCTAATCATCAGGGAGTTAGCATCTTCACTTAGGCTGTGCTGTCCAGGCTGTGCTCACAGTTGTCCCACTGAAAGCCACTCTCCCGACCATGTCTGCTCTACATCGTTTTGCTTTGATTCGAGCGCATGCTTCTTGGATTCAGTTAAAGGCCTCTTGTTTACAGAGTTGGGGTGCTGACTAGGAAAGCCAGAGGGTGGATGAGGAAGAATCACACCATCAGCTTAGGCCAGACCCTACCTGCACCCCTCTGTTGTTTTCCTACCACCCCAAATATCATCCTCGTCCTTGTTCTCACCTTCCCCCCAAATGCTGGAAGAGCTGTTCGCTCTCTGCCTCTGGGCCAAAATGAATGAATGTACTGAGAATGTCTCTATTTTCACTTCCCACTGAGAGAAGCCATATTTTTTTTATGCAGCGCAGTCTTTCACTGCTCCTGGCATGCAGTAGTTGATGTGAGGCACTGAGCTGATAGTTGGTATTGGATCGGCGGGCACCAGGCTGGGTTGGATCTGGAGCCGTGGGAGGGGCCGCTAGGTCTCCACAGCTTCTGTGCAGGGTTCCAGGCTTGGGGTCCAGCAGCAGCTTCATGTGTGACAGGGGGATGCTGAGCGTGGCTGTGTTGTCCTTGGCTGGCTGCTGGGCTCAACAGGCACTGAGCTTTGTGTTTGCTTTGTTTTTAAACTTGGCAGCGTTCCTGCACTGTGTAAGGGCCATGTGGGCCCAGGCAGGGGTCGGGGGACAGAAGTCCCCAGCTGGAGGCTAAGTGAGTCTCCTGGAGGAGGAAGTCTTAGCTGATGTGTGACACATGAAGGTTCATCTGCTGTGAGCCTCACCGGGGCCAGGTCACCACAAAAGCACACGCGAGCAGAGCCGGGCACACCGTGCTCCCAGATCCATGTCACCGAGCTCTGCACCCAGGGACCCAGTGTCACTTGTGTCTGTCAGGTCAGGGTCGGCCTGGGAGGTTGGGTGGATGCACCCCAGTCAGGGACCAGGGCCCAAATCAAGAGTGGAAGGAGACTATCTCAGTTACTTCCTCGTCTCCTGGACACAATACCTGACACCCAAGAGCTGGAGGAGCTCTTCATGGTTTCAATCCGAGGTCAGCTGTTCTGAGGCAGAAACAGCAGGGCGGGAGGGCCTGGGGAGGGACAGCCGCTCATGTCATGGCAGCAGGGAGCAGAGAAGTGAGAAGCCAGGACGAGAATCCTCCTGACAACACAGGCAGCCATGGGTGAGCCCCCGAGAGCCCAGCGCCCAGTGACCTGCCAGTTTCTCCCTCGTGAGACTTGGGCGCCTTCGGAGCTAAGCAGGGCAGAGGCCCAGCAGGTGGGACCAACGCTGTCTGGCCATGGGCCCGGCGGGGCTTTCTGGTTGGCGAGCCTGTGGGTCAGCCTGTGTCCCCCTCTCGGGACACGGAGCGTCAGCGTGGCAAGGCACAGTTCAGCTGTGTGGCCTGGGTCCCAGTAGGGCTTGGGGACTTCTGACTGGGAGAGAAGCTCCGTCTTCTACAAACCAGGGACCTGGGTCAGGGCGACAGTGCACCGGGCCGGTGACTGAGGGGCCCACACCAGCCTGGCCTTGTGGGACCCGGGCGGCCTGCTCCTGCTGAGGGGGTGCAGAGTAGCCTGTGTGGGCCCTGGTGAGCAGACCCAAAGGCCAGGTGGGGTCCTCACCATGGCCCTTTGTCGAAGCGTCCACTCTGAGTTTTGAGCCATGAACTCATCTCCAGATAGTTCAATCTGTATTTCTAAATATTTAATGGCAACAAAGCTCACCATCAAATTTCTGATAAAGTTGCATACAAGTCTTTTAAGAAAATAGCAAGCCAAGCCAGGCATGCTGGTATACACGTGTAATCCCAGCACTGTGGGAGGCTGAGGCAGGAGGATCACAAGTTCACACCCAGCCAGGGTGACTTAGTGACTTAGTGAGATCTGGTCTCAAAATAAAAAGTAAAAGGACAGAGGATGAGGCTCAGTGCAGAGGTCCTGGGTTTGATCCCCAGTACAAGAGAAAGAAAGAAAGAAAGAAAGAAAGAAAGAAAGAAAGAAAGAAAGAAAGAAAGAAAGAAAGAAAGAAAG